CCTATACCTCTAGCCAATGTAGAATAAACAAACACAAAGCAATAACCACAGTAAAACTCAGTTTAAAAGAAGTTCGAGTCCGATGTCAGAATAGGTAACAAAAGAAACTAAGCAAAATGACAATGATACATAAATTAACAAAGGACTACTAGCAGTTACTCACATGCCAGCTCCAGATCTCAATTGAAAGATTATGTCATCATCATATGAAAATCAAGTACAATCCCTCCCGTTAGGGGTTTAGTATCAAACCATTATAAAATATTTGAGAAGAACATAACCAGTATCATGCCAACAAATGGTTTTAGAATAAATGTGTTTATTTCCGGTGCAAAGACCCTATGACTGAATCAATATTAATACCAAAATATGCCATCTTTAATGACCAGACAACAGTACCGTAACTATATCCTTTCTGAATAAGTCTGTTTAAAGGTTTGGTTAGCTTTTGAGGTGAATGTCTACATTTTTGTGCTTTGTATAGAATATTACCATACAAGTGAATGTGAAATACCTGAACGTATAAGATGTCTGCATGTTGATTTATATTTACGAATGATGTCCTTGTACCGATTATACAATTTAATAAATGTTTTGACTGGTTTGTGATATCGAAAACCCTGATGTAATAATTTTTCAGTGATACAGAGGTTTCTTTCGTTAAAATCAAATACGTTTACATACATAATTATAAATTTTTTCATGCTTTTAGACACAAGTAGGGGACAGAAATCTAAGGAATAGCAGTACAAAATCCGAAAAATTCAATATAAACACAAATATTCTTTTAAAAGACACCTCCTCAAAACCAAAATAATAATAATAATAAAAAAAAAAATAACACTTAAGCCGCCCATGTTCTATTTCCCTTTGAATTAAATTAGATTTGAATTGAACGGAATATCTAATAAAAATGAAAACAACACTCAATAAATTGCATGCGTCAGCGCTTTCCTGGATTTATCTTCATCCTGAACGCTCAAAGCTGAAAATATTAACGCCAGGGGTGAATAAGAACCGAAACAGTTGAAGACTTATATGACCAAAAGGGACATAAAAATAGCTAAATCCATCTTAGTTTCAACTTTGTATTTTTTTGTAATTCATAAACGGACAGTTTTAGATGATTAATTGATGATATCTTAATATTTCATGCATGTTCAGGACGACAACAAATTAACAATAAATACAATAGGTAGGTCCTGTAAAAGAGGTCGTTCGGGGTGAAGGTTGGGAAGTTCGGATGGCCACTGGAAAATGAGTGTATATTAGATAGGGACAGAAAGTTTGCCTTGCAACAGGCCATCTTCATGAACGGACCCATGAAGGAGTTGCTGTAAGGCTTCTGAACTTGTAGAGAGCGTGGCACTCTCTCTACACGCCCCGTGTCGACCTGACGTGTCTGTGTACTTGTACATCCAGCCCAGCAAACTGACACACCACTTTGGCAAGGGTTTTACTGCCGGTCGAAAAAAGACCCAATTGACCATATTTTTATTCCCCAGACCACCTTGGAGGTAAACAATTTTTGAAAGGGTTGTTATAAATCATGTCAGTTCTGACTAATTAGCTGATGATAACCTTGGAGAGTTTTCTAATGTATTTAATAAGCAATGAAATAAATAATCAATAAGCTTTATAACGATCCTAATGAAATAATAATAATAAAAAAAAACCGAAATGTGTATATAATACAGAGATAAAATTGTCAATTCTTATTATGATTTCTGATGGAAATGAAGCTATGATTGTGCTATATTTCTGTGTGACCAAGCATAACATACGCTTAGTCAGACTCCTCTTCTCAGTAGGAGTATTTAAACCTTGCTCTTGTTTTACGTTTCTGGAACGATAAAACATATTACCATGTTTTTTCACTCGATTATACATAGACGCACTCGAAAAAACACGGACTGCTCTCGAAAAGCACGGACATATAAAAATGAATTTACTCTCCAAAATGTTTTCAATGCAATAACAAGAATTTTTATAAAGTGTCTGTATTTTTAAGTAAATATAGACCCCATGTATGCATTTCCTTTGACATTTGCATTGGTATGTGTATAAAAATGGTTTTAATATATATTTTGGAATAAAGCACTGTAAGGCTTAATTAAAGATTTTTAAAACAAAAGAATGTAGGATTGATAATGTCTTTTTATCACAAATACATATTTACCTTGTATGATCTTGTATATTAGGTTCTAGAACCCTTTTTACGTCTTAACAGAATAGATATCTGTTTGTTTATATTTTTGATCATATTCACTCAGAAAAATAAAAACGTGGTCACACTCGAAAAATCCCGATCAAATCACTCGTAATCACACGATCCCAGCCGGACACAATATATATACCTACTGTTTAATCTCAGCACATATTCATAATATTACTGAAATGTTACATCATGATTTCCTTGATAGAGGACTGCTGCTCACAAGGAAGCTATTAAACCAAGAGTTCCAAATGGTGAAGTTGAAGTCATCCCTTCGTAAATTTTACGGACGCCATCACGAGTTGGTTGACCGTTATGGAATAACCGTTTCACAGATGATTTCGGATATGTTCCTTATGTCGTAACTACAATACCCTTCCTTTTCATGAATGTGACTTACCGAATTAAGACTATTTACCGGATTTGTAATAACATAAGCAACACGACGGGTGCCACATGTGGAGCAGAATCTGCTTACCCTTCCGGAGCACCTGATATCACCCCCAGTTTTTGGTGGGGTTCGTGTTGCTAAGTCTTTGGTTTTCTATGTTGTGTCATCTGTACTATTATTTGTCTGTTTGTCTTTTTATTTTTGGCCATGGCGTTGTCAGTTTGTTTTCGATCTATGAGTTTGACTGTCCCTCTGGTATCTTTCGTCCCTCTTTTACATATATTGCGCAAACTAAACAATAATCTTTCAGCTTATAGTCACCTGTCTTTTTTATCATGTTTATTATTCATTTCATAGGCCGAAAAGCTAAAGTGCATTAGTTAAAACGATAAATCTATGTACTTTAATACCAAGTCGCAGTTTGGTTTATATATATCGTTTTCATGACATATACAGCAATAGAATAACGCAAAATCGTAACTATTTGACCTTCTCATATTTTGAAAAATCATAGAGTACACCCGTCACCAATAGAATATTTGCACAGTAAGTGGTATTTTATCAACTTACGGCCCTTTTTCGCGATTTATTTAGCTAGATTGTTTTTGAAATAAGCGTACCTTTTCTTAAAGAAACCCTGATTTATCTCCCTTAGAATGTCACAGTTAACTTGGTAAATTATAAAGATGTGCCTCTCCTTTCCAAATGTATCAAAAATGTTCAAAATTGCTTTTCCAAATATTAATCCCAACTTGGTTTAAATATAATATATAGCATTCGGAATGTATAGGAATATGACTCTAACAACTCAACGATGGATTTTGCTATTTTTCAAGGCCCTTTTTGGTCATATGGCTCTTCAACTGTTTTGGTTCTTATACATCCTTGGCTTTCAAATATTCGGCTTTAGTCGTTGCTGATGAAGGTTAATCCAGAAAAAAAGTGTTTCGGACGCATGACATTTATAAACGTTTATTTTCATTTTCTATAGGTGTGAATATTATGCTATCCTACAATTATGAATAACATGACTGTATAGTTTGATTCATGACACAAATACAAAATATTTTCAAACATTTTATAAGTCTATGGTTGATTATTTTCCTGTACTATCGATTACTGTATGTTAAACATTGTACTTTTCGTGATTTAGCTTTTTGAGATTTTTGTTATTTATATTTATAAATTATTGAATTCCCTCAAACAAAGTTGACACTATCCACCAAAGTTCCAATAAAGTGGATGTAAGCAATTATAGGCAACCGTATGGCCTTCAACAATGACAAAAACCCATACCGTATAGTCGGCTATAAAAGGCCCCGACATGAAAAATATGAATTAATTCAATTGAGAAAACTAACGGCCTAATTTATAACAAAACAGTCGACGAAAAACAAATATGACAGACATGAACAAACGACAACCACTGAACTGCAGGCTCCTGACTTGGGACAGGCACATAAAAAATGTGGCAGGGTTTAACATGTTTGTGAGCGCTCAACCCTCCCCTAACCTGTGACAGTGATGTAACTGCACAACATGAGAACAAACTATAAAAATCAGTTGAAAAAGGCTTAACTCATCAGATCGATACAAAGCAGAAAAACATCAAACATTAACACAGACTGGACGTGGCAGGGTATTTATCCATCCCTCATCCCTAACAACAAAAAGGATTTTAGGTTTCTTTTGGTCTCATAGCTCCTTCCGTATTTGGGTATTTGTGTATTTATATATCCTTGCTTTAACATTACTTTTGTATCGGCCTAAACCTTTGTTTCAGATATTGCAAATGGTCTGTTAACTTGGTTATAATTTTAATATTTCCATTTAACGTTGCTACCTTCAATAAACAAATAATTGATAGGAATGTCATTCTGTATTGTTATTTCAAATAAGCAACTTTTTTATTTAATCATCGACATTGAACTACTGTATATTAAACTGAATTATCCTAAATAAAAAGTATTTTATGACTTTAAAAAAAAAACACTTCTATTTACAATATTGCCCGAATGGCAATTAATTATAAATAAATCCACATTATTAATAATCACCTTTATTTTTGATATTATTATGCAATGGCAGAAGATAAATTCTATTCCTGTAAATCTTAAAGATAAGGTTCCGTTAGCAAATGATAAGCTATACTGTAATCAATGATTACGTTAAAAATTTAGGTAATTAATCATGTAAGAAACAGAAAGCCCTTTCGTACCTGTATAGTCTTCAACATTCAGGCCATCCCTTATTCAGCCGAAATTCTGAAAAGTTCGAATTGAATATTCATTACCTTATGCTCCTAAAATGAAATACACTATTGAATCTTTCCAAATCAATCTTTCATTGCAATGCCACTGCATTAAAACAAACAAACAATCCTTAAACACAAAATAACAGTTCAACAGATTTTTTTGACAAAAAAGATATATCATAATTTAAATGTATGTCATACAATCACGGGAAATTAGACACTTTAAAACAATTACTTCGATAAATTAGGATAAATTCGATAATTCTTGAAAAAACAATGCTACATACATGAATGAACGTCAATAAAAAAAACTGCAATCCTTTATTCAGTACTTTCAAATAATGAAATTGAATTATTAAATACAAATATTTCCTTCATGTTGAACAAAATAATTTAAAACTGATTTGAGCGCAAAAAAGTTAAGTACGAGATCTAAATTGTTAAATATGCAGGCATTTAATTTTTTTTTCTGCATTTTTTGGAAGAAGCAAAATATTGATCTCAATCCTTTTTTGCTAGATAAGAACTAATACTACAATTCAACATATTTTAAACAAGAGTGTTACTAGAGAAGTAGAAGTTACTGTCACTTCCTGAATACAACCCCAGATTTTTAAAAATCATTCTGTAACACATCCAAATAATAAATTTGAGACTAGTATTCGATCTTTAGTTTTAATTTGTTGGAAAAAGTAAATAAAAAAGGCTGAAAATTCCAGTCGTATTAATGGATATCTAAAATTTTAGAGGTTTTCAATGTTACTATTTGTCTAAACATTCCATTTGATTAAGTTTTTGAGTTAAAAAATACACATTGATAGGCGATTCAACACTTTGATTATGTCTTAACTTGGTTATGAAAGAAACATTTACCAAACAGTTTTTGTATAATGCTTAGTCCTCGATATGACTCATAAATGTATTCTAACTAAAATAACACGGCGGATGTTACTATTAAAACATCAGCTTCTGTCCCTTTCCTAGATTTAATACAAAACATTCAGAAACAAATTAAAATAAATATTATTCTATATACTAAGTTTTTGTAGATTTGATGATAACAATTATAATAAACAAAAGAGAAAAGGCTTGGTTTAAGTGATAAAAAATTGAACGTTCTTTCAGTTTTACATAATAATATCAATAAATGAAACAAATGTTAACACATACACCAGAAGTTATTGTTTAGAAAATTGTCATTTAGAGAATATGTTTACTATCCATGAGTTTTTAGAATGAAGCATATCGCACAATGTTTCCCGAAAAAAGGATGTATTCAGTTATCTGAAAATAAAAAATAAAAATTATGAGATAGTATATTCATGTACATTTAGATTCAATAACATGCATTTACTTTTCTGTGCAGAAGTTTACATTTGAATTTAAGTTTGTTATATGTCGCCATATTTGTATATCGTGTCATGAATAAATATAACATTTGTTTACTTTTCAACCAAAAAAACAAAAAAACAAAACTGAAACAGCTCTATGGATGTGCAAAACAATACCAGAATATGCAGACGACATACTTTAAAAAGAATAATAAATAGTAAATAGAAATTCAATTAGTTTTAAATATAGAAATGTTATTGATCCATCAGAACTTATTCTCATAGATGCTTTCTGTAAGAATGATAGCTGTCTCATAATTATATTAGTTACACAGTGTACTATTGACCTAATTCGATATATACGGGGCCCGTAAATTCCAAATGTGACGAGAGCGAGCGAAGCTCGAGTCCTATATGGAATTTATTGACCCAGTATATGTCGTAATAGGCCTAGGTCCTTAGAACACGAATTTATCTTACCGGCTATATTTGTATCATAATATGGTTGAATTCAGATGTAGTAGTTAACCTTGATATCAAAATTTTAACACAACATCAAACAGAAGTTTTTATTATTTACACTAAAAAAGTCGTCGTCTCAAAGCTTAAACTTTAATTATGTACGTTTACAATGTATGTTAATTTGAGAACACGTTTTTTCAAAGGCACGCCACTCTACTACTTACCGTGTATTTAAAACCCCGCCCAATGACCGTGTATTTATAATAACTCGCGCCCACAGACCTGATATTGAATATACACGGTTTCCACGAGTTCGCTGGAAGTGTAAAGGAGGGAAGATAATATCAAAACATTCTTATTATTTCCCTTAGTCTGATTTATACAGGCATTATTATACTATTTTATCTTAATAATTAATTAACATCGAAAAGCTTATTGGGGGTCTCAGTGGTTGAGTGGTCGAAGTAGTCGAATAACTGTATCACAAGCCTGTAAACACTGAGGTTGTGAGCTCGAATACCGCACGTGGCGCGATTTCAAATCAGTTCGTCGAATACTTATCAACACATATATACATGTGTCATTAAAGCGTAATCAAGTGTAAAATAAACGTCAACGAAGGAAATGTCATTAAACAACATTCCGATGGAATTAAAGAAATTTAATGTCTTTATTTATACACAACGTGTTCAATCAATGATGAAAAACAAATACATGTGACTCCAGAAAAGTGTTACGGTTGAGGCAAAGTGATGGTTTGAATCGTATATTGGAATTATAGTGTAATCATTAGGAAAGATTACGAGTGATAATTGGTTAGAGTAGATGGAAGTAAATCTTCTGGTATTTGTATACATCCGGCCATTATTTAAAAGGTTTCCAATTTTATAAATTTATCTGATGTCTCCATTGACCTATATTTGGTTTCTGTCCGTTGATTTTTATTGAATTTTGATATTTGATAAAGCATGTAAAGCAAGCATCAATATGACGGATTAAAAATCAACGTATTTAAACAATAGTAACATGACGGGTATTATTAGTGGAGCAGGAGTTGATATCCATTCCTGAGTACAACCCAGATTTCGTTAAAAATCATTACGACATCAGAATAAATAAATGTGTTTCTCAATCTTTAGCTTTTTGTACATCATTTTGTTGACTTTTACTTGTAGTGTCATTGTATTTCTTTATTTATTTTCCCTTTTTTCCCATTTTCTATCTTCTTGTTGATTTCAATGTGAAAAATGGAAATAACAAAATAAACATAAGATTCTCAACTTGTTTATTTTTCAAAGGCGATACATTTTTGAGAAATAATGATGTAGTTTTCATTATGTTCAATTGATTATTATTGTTTACTCACATATGATTTCATTCAATGAATTCCTACTTTCTTCGGCATTAGCAGCACGTCTCCTTATATCTAATTTGCAAATTGCATAACCAATCTTATATCCAATTGCTATAAGTAGTCCACATAATAATGAAATCCATAGAAAAATGCCAATACCGTTGAGAATGCCTATGATCAATAATAAAATCAATATTAACAGTGTCCACACTTGAAATAGCTTGTCGGAAATGCATAGTTGTTTTATGGTCTGGAAAGTATCCCTTAACCCGGGAGCCATTCTTAATTCTGTATGCCTTGTTTCTGGGTTTTGGAAAGATTAATTTTATATTAAAAGACTGGAAATTTCCGACCTGTTTTCTATTTTCTGTTTAAAATGATTACAGTGCACACATTTAATCTTGACGTTCACCCAACCGTTGCTGTTTCATTGACGTATATTCACACATCTCCTTTTATTCATATTATATTGAATAGATCGACATTCGAATAATCGTTGTAAAGTCAGTTTATATTCTTTCATGTCCTATTTAAAGTTGGAAAACCATTTGATGTTACTAAATATATACATTTAATCATGTCAAAATTCCCATTCTTTAAAATGAAAAATGCTTACGGTAATACACAACGATACTCCTCAGTCAGCAGACATAACAAAAAGATTATATACAGTATGAATAATCTATTGCAGAGTAGAAATATAACATAAAAAAACGAGCCAGGAAAAATTCGTGTGATTAACACTGTGTATCGAATAATGCTCACTATCTTATCGATGATGAATTATTAAGTCATATTTAGATTTTAGTTTATTTTTCAGACATTTTTACGGAAGCAAGTTTAACTAATTAAAGTTATGTGAAAATTAAGAGATGATCGGTTCATTTTCTTTCGGCAACAAAAGTCTTGATTCAAATACTTAAGGAAATAAACAAATAACACAGTCGCGCGTTCTCATCAACACCAATTTGTCGAAAAATGCTCATCATTTTTGGATTTACTCGTACATTCTCACATAGTGTGTTATGTTTGTCCTTTGCTAAATGAGCTGATCCTGATGATTTTTTTCCAAATACAATTTTGCTAAAATCACCGTTTGTACAGGATTGCATATTAATATACGTGAGGTGGAGTTTTCTTTGTTCCGTGTTGAAGGCATCACTGTAACTTTGAGATGGAGAACAGCAATAACAGTGCTGTACCTTTTCTTTTTGTGTGTTTTTTTGCTGTGTATGTACTGGTTTTATGTCATGGATGGATACCCCATATTCTTTGTTACTCTATTAGATAAAAGTTGGAATGACAGTTACATGTAAAATGGTAAATGGTAACTGTAATCGAACGTTTAAAAATTTAAACAATCTAAATTTATGTTGTCAACGGATATTACTCGGTATATCGAGAAAATTATCGTTCAAGAATAACTCATAGTGGTCAAGAATTGCAGTCGGATCGTGAAAGATCTTGTATCTAATCATGAATGCAATCAAATAAAATTCAATTTCAAAACCTGTGAAAAAAATTCAATGTATTATTAAAAGGCGGTAATAATCGTTCAACGTTGTAATCAGTATCTGAGAAGAATGAAAGTTAAAATGTTACCGTTTTTACAAAACTACAAAAATCAGTTTACTATTTAACATTTCAATGACATAAAAATGTCAGCAAACATGCACATCTACATAATATAAAGGACTGAATTATTATTCTCTTAATAATGTAGTTATATTGCTGTTTGAAATGGCTCTCAATATTAACCAGTTGTAGCTTAATCACAAAGTTTGTAAACATTGGAATATTTCTATAGATTTGATTTTTTCTGATCGTGACAGTAAGGATAGCGTTTTTTGCTGATCATGAAAAGGATCGTCAAAGATAAGGAACGGCTTGTTTTTTTTTTTTGTGTACCAAAAAGTCCTTGAAAGCGCATATATATTTATGTAACAAGAAATGATTGTAACAGAATGCTGTTACGAAGTCTCCCAAACAAAGTCCCAATTAGTATAAATCACTAAGGACTCTCCATATTGAATAAATTGAAAAAAAGTTTAAGGTCAAAGGTCAAGATCATAACTGACCATTAAACTTTTGACCTTTCATTAGGTCATATGCTCCCATGGGCATTTCTGAAGACAACATGTGTATATCACTAAATGTTCTCAAGTTATAAACATTTAAAATCCCATTGGGTTCCATAGTAAACACCTCCCCTCCACCCCTATAATAGTGTGGAACCTTAAGTATATCTAACAAACGGTTTTGGAGAACGGATACGGATAAGTTCATTTAAAAAAGCGGCGAAAGAGGAGGAAGGAGAAGGAGAATAACTAGATGTGTCATTGCAAGCAAATCGAATGACACACCGATCCGCAAATTGCCACAAAACTGAAGCCACTTTGAAACAGCGAATGCACATATATGCATGACAGCACATATTTCTGTAATTTTCAAAACGTTTGAAGCACTTTTTAGTTTTTGTCTCTTTTGCTTTTTTCCATGGTTATGACGGCCATTTTGGAAATTCCATTTCATTAGGTTTTGAGCATTTTGAAAATTTCCCATTTTTGCTGTTTCAATGGTAACGGCAGTTATTTTGAAAAATTTGAAGTCAAATGTTACATCTGTACATGCCAATTAACATTTCTGTAATGTTTCATTAAGTTTCGAGCACTTTATTTTTTTTCTCGCATGGTTTCCATGGTAACGGCAGCAATTTTGAAAATTCCAAAGTCTAACTGCAACTCTACACATGCCAGTTACCATTTCATTAAGTTTGGAACACTTTCCATTTTTTGCATTTTTGCTGTTTCCATGGCAACGGCAGCCATCTTGAAAATGTCGACCCCAAGTTGCACATCTGCACATGGGGGTTAACATTATTGCATAGTTCCATCAATATGGATCCTTTCAATTCTGAGATCCAGAGTGGACAAAAAAGTGTGGAAGAAAAATAATAACAGAAAGAAAAATATAAAGAAACATGGAATAACAAAACGTCATCCCAACACCGTTCGGGGTGATATAATAATAAATGTAACTGTGCAAAAACAATAAGTCTCCAAAGTTTTTTTGGTAGACTTAATTAACAAAACACTAGACTTGTGTGACTTATTCCGATTAACTTTTGTTTCTGAATAGAGCTATGCTGGTTTAGTTCAATTGCATCATGTTCTTTAATATGGCCACGTAGACTAATCGGTGATGTCCTATAGAAATTACTGTCTGTATTTCTGTCCGTCCATCACTACTTTTAAAACTTATTAGAAGTCAAGAATGCGTCATCTGATTTGATTAATTTTTATGCAAAGAGTTGATACTTTTTTGTATCTATAAAAGAAAGGTACTTGTAAAAAATGGAAAAAATTGTGGTAAAAAGTCATCTTTAAAAGTTATCAGTTTCCCAACATCTTTTTGTGCTATAACTTCGATGACAAATTTCGATAAAGCATAATATTTTATCACTTTTCATTCCTGAGATGTGATATTTGCGACCGTTGAAATAAGGAAAAAAATGTGGGAAAGATTGAAATTTGCCATAATAATCACAAATTATGAAAATCATTCTTTTGTGCTTGGATTTACACAAATCTATATCTAGGTACAATGTACAATATGGAATTTGGAAACTGGTATATAGGTTTAATTTGGCATTCCAAATTTCACCTCTCCTTAGTATTATATTAACCAGATATTCAGAACTTTTTGGCCTTTCTACATTATGCCTTATCCGATAAATATATAATAAGTAAACATAATACACCGCCAAGTATTCTAACACAAAATGTTGGTAATGTTTTAACTTTAAATTGTTTAACTGCCACGCAATGACTCAAATGCGGAGGGTAAAAACAATGAATAATACAATTAAAAAAGAGTCATGCATGAACTATACTAGACATATATATGTATGTCTAGCTAATATTTTCACGTTCGAGCTAAAAAAACGTATTAACAGTTTGCAAGAGACATATCATTGTGTACGGTCAAATAATAAGACATAGACAGTACTGCATGTTTATAGTCAATTAAAATGATTGACCATCAGTTTAGATTTTTAAAAATTGTGATAAAAACCTAGAGAAAAAAAAACATTATGGAAACTATTTTAAAATCTTTAAACATAGATGTGTCAACAAGAGAGGTTCTTTCTGCTATGCATGCATTACCATGCACGATTGGGAATAGAACATTTGGTCAATTCATAAACCAAGCTGGGTATCGATCATCCACCCTCGAGGTACCTACATGAGTAAGTTTTTTTTCACCTAGTTTGGTACATTGACATATATCAATATGCGTACGACAGGCACTACATATAACTGAGAGTAGGTTGCCAAGGACGTAATACTAGTAACCCATATGCGAAGATCGTAGTTGCGTTAAAATTCAATTTCAGATACAAAGATACTTATTTTTTGATAAGCTACGCTCTTGGTGGCCTTATTATCTTTGGTGTTAGTCCTTTTAGTGAAATCAGGTTAAATTTGTGTCTATATCTTGATAACTAATAAGACCTATTTCACTAAAGAGGTTGTGTATTTGTCGCACAAGAATTACGATGGAAGTACTTTTAGTGTATAGATATATAAGTATTATTTTTATTGAGTTATTTTAATAGCTTTTGTAGAAAATAATGTTGTGATGAATTCTAAAAAAATGTAAAAACATAGAAACACTCATTTACGTTGTTACTTTGTTACCCGGATTTGTTTTTTTCTCAATCGATTTATGAATTTCGAACAGTGGTATACTACTGTTGCCTTTATTTACTAAGAAAACACATGCTTAAATCAATTAAAAATATGTGAATTGGTAAAAGAAATAGAAATTTCTGATGAAAGTCTGGTCATTCATTGCCTATCACTATAAAAATATTGCACTGCCTGATCAATATTGATAAAAAATCAACAAAATCCTACGTAATAAAAAAAAGACAAAATATTTTCAAGGAAGAAAATATTTACATTTCAATGCGGTATCTAGAACACTAAATATTTAGCTACAAATGAATCATGATATATTGGAATGTACTATATTCACACTTGTTTTTTCTTTCTTTATTTATTCGTGTTTATGTGTAAATGTATATAGAAGTCTATACAAGGAACCAACCAGCAAATCTAATATGTACTGGATCGTCTAGACGCACCAGGTTTCGATCATTTTGAAGTTTATGCTATTATCTCAGTATTTATGTTTTATATGGATTTGTATCTTCTTGATGAATCAATAAAATAGCAACATCGGCAAACTACTGTTGCGGCCTTGGAATTCCTTATCTATTCATCTTAGATAATCATATTTCTCTAATTCTTCGTCAATTTATCCCTTTCTGCACCCATTGTATTAAAAAAATTTAATCAACGGGTGGTTCGTTTGATCTCAGTTCTTCATTGGTTAAAATCCGATTACGACGTCGAATTTTCTTGCTTTCCTCTGAA